CTAACATCAAGTGAAAACATGCCATGGAGAAGTTCAGATATTAAATGATAAACATGTCCTTCATTTGGAGAAACGATAAAATCTTTCAGCGTTATTTCAGTCATTTTCCTGACCAGAACCCTATGCCGGTGTTCTGCTGACATCAAGTGGTTCTGATTCTTCTGACTTGATGATGATGGGATAAAATGAGAGCTAGAGATCTGGTGGTCACTGAAGTCAGCTGTATTTTTACTAACATATGAAACATCTCAATATCTTCAACATTCTGCAGCCCCAGACCTCAGAGGCCATGATAATTGGTTCTTCTAGAACATCTGAAGAACCGATCCGTTTTGTTCTGTAAAACCTTCTCATTAGGAGGATGTGGTGGCTCTTCACTCTGAACCGGACACATTACCATAGAAACTGATGATGTAAGTGATATTGTCACCTTCCTCCTCAGGTGCAGGGCAGCAACCAGGTCCAACGGGCCCCCAGAGCGTTGTTCTGTCTGAAGCTCAACAACCCGATCCGACGCGCCGCACTTCACATTGTCGAGTGGAAGTATCCTTCAGCCAATCAGCTACCTGAACATTATAAATAATGTGTAACCATGGTTACACATTATTTATAATTCCAGTTTGAACCTGACATCATTCTGGTTCCGTTGGCATCAGAACCCTCTGGTGTCATCACATGCAAATGGTTCTGGTTTTACAGAGAGATGTTTTCACCCAATTTTCATGCAAATCTGAGCAAACATTTAAAATATCACAAATAGAGAAAATGCGATTTAGCAGTGTTTCCATCCCCTGGTCTGGAATGAATTAACCAGGCTAGCATAATTTGGTCAGATGTGGACGTACACGCAGCTGCAATAACAGTAAAAAGTTTGCAAAGTCAGAATTTATTGGGCAAATGTGAGTCCATCTCCCATTAATGAACTATTTTTCAGAAAACCCAAAATCCACTTCAAGCAAGTGCAAAATCTTTGAGTTTTGCTGTTTCCATCAACCACTTTTAATGCGATACTTCAAAATGCGAATAAAAAACACTGATGGAAACACAGCTATTGTTTTCTGTGGGAGATCTGACACGGTCATCAGAACCTCCAGGTCCAGTGTCTCCAGAACCATGCTGAGCTGGAGACTACTGGAAGGGAAAGAGAGTGGGCATGTGTCTCTGCTCTCTGATTGGACAGAAACCAGGAAGTCCTCCAGCAGCGGGAGACAGAAATGGGTTCTGGGGCCATTAAAGGCTCCTGACTGAACAGGAAGCTACAGATCAGATGTAGGATCAGGCAGTTCCTCTGGTAGTTTCAGAACTTCCTGAACTTGTTTCTCAGACCGTTCGATATCTTCATCCTGTTAGCCATCTTTGCTAACTGTGTGGCTCTGGGAGTTTCCAAACCATTTCCTGAAGATGACTCCAACTCCACCAACCATGACCTGGTGAGAGAAGGCCTGACCTCCAGAATGAGAACCCGGGGCTGTGGAGGCAGCGGTGCAAGATAAATGCCGGAGCAGCGGATGATTGACAGATCTGTGATCGGCTCTGAGGACTTTCTGTTCTGCTGCTCCAGCTCTCTCTGCTCTCAGCGTCCTCCTCCATCTACAGACCGAGCCTGTTGTTCACACAGTCACTTCCTGTTGGAGTGATGGCTGCGCCTCGCTCTCAGCTGAACTCAGGAGATGTTGTTCATTGGTCTTCCACCCAACCGACTTAAACATTTTACTGAGATCATCCAGTCCATGTTCTCCTGTCACCAGAACCAATCACGTGTTCTGCTGTCCAGTTCTGACGGACCTTGTTCTGTGTTTCAGGAACAAGTGGAGTACGTCTTCCTCATAATCTTCACCATAGAGACCTTCCTGAAGATCCTGGCCTACGGTCTGGTGATGCACCCCAGCTCCTACATCCGTAACGGCTGGAACCTACTGGACTTCGTCATCGTCATTGTTGGGTAGGAACACAGAAGACCTGGAGGTCTCTGTAGGCCTTTCAATCCTTCTGTGTGTGAGTCCCAGGTTCTGACCCGCTTTATTTCAGTAGTTTATATATCTGAAGTGAAGTGATTCATAGTTTTCAATGATTTTATGAATAAAATCCATTCATCAGCAGCCTGGAGACCCATACTTTCCTCTCTCCAGCCACTGGGACCAGATCCTCCCAAAGTGTTGGTTCCCAGGCCAGCCGAGGATCGTTGTTCCTCCAGCGGTCCTCTGACACCCGAGGAAAGCCCAGAGCACACAACTGAGTTTAGGATGTCAGTGTAACTGGAGGGGTTCTGGTTCTGGCCTCAGAAGTTCTTCAGAACCCTATAGAGCAACCACCGTCATGGTGCAGCATGTTACTGCAAAAATCTTTGAAGTGTGGATGCAAACATAAACATTACCATGCATACCTCTCAGACTGATTGTTTTTCAGATTTCCCATCAGCCATTTTAATTTCAAGATAACAGAAATTTTTTAAGATGGCTGTCATTTTTAAGCCCTTTAACTATGCTGTAGTCGTAACTCGGTGCTCAGGAAGACTGAGCCAGATGTCACGGTTAGACAACAGGGAAGAGATAGGGGTGTCCCGTCAGACCGTCAGTTCCCAGAACCACAAAAAATGAAAATCTTGTAAAAGTGCACACGAGGTCAGTGCGAGAGCTTAACCAGTTACTGCCATCAGATATTCCTCATTTTCATGACTTGGATTAATGGATTAACTTTATATCAACTCATGTTTTCCACTTTGATCATAACGTTCATAAAGTAATAAAATGCAGCAGAATCAGAAACGGGGAACTTTGCTGTTCACGGGTCTCACACCAGTCATCAACGGGAAGGAGGAGAAGGTGAGAGACAGACAGACAGTCAACTTAATGGTTACTTTTAGCTTCTGCTAATTTTTTTAGGTGTAGCGGTTTCGCGTTAGCAGAGCTAAGAGATTCTTGTTTAGTGAATTAATAATTATTGAGCCAAACTTTTTTGTCAGCTGTGCCTACTACTGATAAAAGCGACTGTCCATTTTAGTGCAAACATTATTTCCATTTTGAACAATGGCTGCCGAGGTTGCAATAGAGATTCCATGTCCAGACTTGAAAGATGATGTTCTCCATCCATCCAGCCTGACTGAGCTGAAATGTTTCAGTCTGGAGATGATGGAGCGGTTGGCTCTGAGCCTGCAGACCTGGAGCTTCATCCTCTGTCCTCACTGCAGGACGAGACATGACTGGACGTCCTCGGAGCAATGATGATGCTGGTGATGATAAAGCTGTTGTCATGGTAACTCTCCCTGGGGATGCTTTGCTCCACTTCACTGCATCAGAGACAGCAATGGACCTTCTGGAGTTTGCTTCATGCTATTCTGCAGGAAACTGGATGTAAGCTGCAACGCCTGGATGAGGAGAAGGTCTCAGTGGACGCCTGATCTGTGGTGGCGAGCTAAAAGGATTTACTGCTTCATCTATGGTCCTGAGATGCCTACCAGGACTAAAAGAACCAGAACCAAAACACAAGCACCTGAAAGGAGTCTCCTCTGCAGAGTTGCTGCTGCTGCTCTACAGGGTTCCAGCTTCATCTGATCATCTGGACGCCTCCAGTTGGAGGTTTTCCTGGTCCTTCCCAGTGGGTGAGGATCCAAAACTCCAAGGTGGGACTGGTTATCCTTGTTATCCAGGAATACGTTGGGATCCTGCAGGGTGAGCTGCAGAGAGAACGTCTGGGTTTCCCTCCTGGACCTGTGACTTCCTAACCTTTCCATCACCTTTCTACGCAACTACATTCGACTCATCTCGTCTAGCAATTAAAGAGGAGTGATTAAAGCATTTTATTGCTGGCAAAGATGTAGTCACCTTACTCCCCTCAGGGTTAGCATGACATACGTCATGGCCAGATATTAGCGATTGAGTGAAATCAGAGACAATCTTTTTGAACTTTGACAGAGTTTACACCTCCAGAAAACAAACATTTCTCAATATTCATCCAGACCCTCTGGACGGAGCAAAGTGTAGAGAAAGGGGCTGGTTTTTACCAGGTCAGCAGTCGATGGAGGGTCACATGGTGGGTAGTTTCAGTTTACTCAGTCCTCAGGGACCCGACAGAAACCAACATATTAACTGGATGCAAACCTGAACAGTGAGACACCTGGAGGAAACTCCTGGGGATACCAACTCCTCCTTCCTAGAAGCCACACCTTCAGAAGTACAACATGTAACTGATGTTTCACTTTTCATTTTCTGTGCAGGTTATTCAGCGTCGTCCTGGAGACGATGACTCATAAGTCAAGTGGTGAGCAGGCAACCACTCACCACATGCCAGGGAAGCCGGGAGGCCTGGACGTCAAGGCTCTGAGAGCCTTCAGGGTGCTGCGACCCCTCAGGCTGGTCTCTGGAGTCCCCAGTGAGTTTCCTGGACAGGGACCTGACTGGACAATGTGTGTCCAACATGTCTTCAGTTCTGTGTGTTCTTCAGGTCTGCAGATCGTCCTGAACTCCATCATGAAGGCAATGGTTCCTCTGCTACACATCGCTCTATTGGTTCTCTTCGTCATCATCATCTATGCCATCATTGGCTTGGAACTCTTCATTGGACGTATGCACAGGACCTGCTATTACATCGGGACAGGTGCTGTACACAAATGGACTGGTCACACCTGTAATCACTCACTCCCCACAAGGTCCAGAGAGAATCATGAAGATACTTTCACTCGGTTTGTCTGGGTGATCTTTCCTAAATGTTCAGCTGCTGAAAGGATGAAGAGTGACTCCCTTCTGGTTCGTCTCTCTTGGAGGCCTTTAGCAGATTTGGTTTGACCAGTTGAGCCCAAAACAAAGAAATAAAAACCAAACATGTTTATTTGAAGATCCCTTCACCTGGATGAAGGGATTTTCATGCGAGGACAGAACCTGTGGTGGCTTTGGGAGCTGCAGGCTCTGCTGAACAGTCAGCAGGTTGAGACTCCCATGTTGATTCTACAAGCCTCCTGATTCAGGAAGCTTTGGGCGCTGAAGCAACCACTGGAATAATAAACCACAAACCTCCCAAACATCCTTCACACATCCGATCATGACTAACACTGCTGGCTTCTGGCCGAGTCTTCACTCTTAAACAATACCTTATCTTAAACAAATAAGATAAGGAAGGATTTATTTTATTTTCAGGGAACAAGCATTCAATTGTCAAACACTGATATTTAGTGATTTACTGTCAGGGAAAATGTTTCTTCATAGTGTTGTCTCGCCCAGGCTGTCATCTCTTTAGGGCGTTGTCTTTTTTGGGTATTGCCTCGTCATCTTCTTGTCTCCTCAGTGACTTTTCTCCTACTGATTGTCCTTCTTGTCTCCAGATAACTACGTGGAGGACGAGCCGGTGCCGTGTGCGTTTGCCGGATATGGCCGCCAGTGCACTGTGAACGGCTCGGAGTGTCGGGGCCGGTGGGACGGTCCCAATGGTGGAATTACCAACTTCGATAATTTCTTCTTTGCCATGTTGACGGTGTTTCAGTGCATCACCATGGAGGGATGGACCGATGTGCTGTACTGGGTGAGGACTCTCCTCCAGTTGTCCTCCCGTACTCAGAGGCGTGTCCACGTCTCCTCATCCTTCTCCTCGTCTCTCTCTGCAGATGAACGACGCCATTGGCTTTGAGCTGCCCTGGGTATATTTTGTCAGTCTAGTGATTTTTGGATCCTTCTTTGTTCTGAATCTGGTTTTGGGAGTCCTCAGCGGGTCAGTTCAACTTCCAGAACGTTCTGATGGTAGGACCGGACCAGAACTCGCCTCTAAATGAATGCCGTTTGAATGTTTCAGAGAGTTCAGTAAGGAGAGGGAGAAGGCCAAGGCCCGGGGAGACTTCCAGAAGCTCCGGGAGAAGCAGCAGATGGAGGAGGATCTGTGTGGATACATGGACTGGATCACTCAGGCGGAGGACATGGATGAACTGGACGAGGACGGTAACCCACGTAAGTCAGACTCTAGTGAGTCGGTGTTTTCATCCTTCAGTTCAGCAGTTTGACGTCCAGAGAGAGATAATCCAGACTCAGCCCAGCACTCCATATCAGCTCAGATTAAGGATTTTCTCTGGATCAAAGGAGAGAGCTGCAGAATCAGGTCATGTGACATGGCTTACCATTGGTCACATGACTGAGCTGAGCATTAGTCGGGTCACGAAGAGATCCAGATCAATCAGAACATCAAGAACACAGCTGAAGAGGTCAGATGTGCCTTCTGGAGTCTGATGTCAAAATTATGTCCACACAGGACAACCGTACTGCCGTCCTCAGGTCCACTTTGACCTCAGTAGATCATCTATGGATCTCTCCAGAGAGGAGAACGGTGAACGGGTCAGACTGGACAATCAAGAAGCACAAACACTGAAGGTCTCCTTCAAGGTCCACATCCAAAACTGCTGCTTTCTGAGAGGATCAGACTACAATGGCTTGTTGAGGTCCTCAACCTTCAGGGCACAGGTTCTTATGGTTCTGATGAGCAACGTGCTCACGCCTAAAACAGCTAGACTTCTGCACATCTTCTCTCTGGAACCTTCAGAAACATGTAGCTCCCATTAACGGATGGCGAGAAGGCTCTGGTTGGATCATTCTCCGTCCATCTGTCCTTCATCTTCTGTGATGGACCTCTTCTCCTGACCTGTAAGGCAGAGCCCGTCTTCCCTGTGGATCAGGAGTCTTCAAGTGCAGTCCTTGAGGTCTGGTATTCTGTACCTGTTAGATCTGTCTGGTCCAAAACACCTGACCCAAATGGCTGAGTCACCTCCGTAGTGTTTGGTCCAGTTCTCCAGAGTTCCCCTAACAACGTCATTATTTGACTCGTGTGTTGAAGCAGAGATGTGTCTAAAAGTTGCAGGATTCTGGTCCAAAGAGGCCTGGAGGAAAGGATGCCTGCTGTAAACATATTTCAGCTGCTTGTCATTCCTTCTGGATCTTAAACGGAAGGCTTTGCTTCCTTGCTCAACTCCTTCTTCACCACCAGACTGTGTGGGCGACTGTGGGTAGAGTCGTCGTCTTGTGATTGGAAGGTTGTAGGTTCGATTCCAGCTTCCTCCTGCCTCCTGTGTCGATGTGCCCCTGGGCACGGCACTTAACCCCAAAGTGTATAAATGTGTGAGCGTTTGTGAGTGTGAATGGGTGAATGTGACTCTAGTGTGAAGCGCTTTGAGTGGTCAAAATGATTGGATAAAGCGTATGTAAGTTCAGTCCATTTACACCTTCAAGTTCCCCATTTATTGCAAATTCTTATCGAGAATTTATCGCTTATTCTCAGGAGTCCAACCTGAGAATAAGCGAACTGGTCCCGCCTGTCCAGGTCCAGGTCTGTAATGACTCCGTCTCTTCCTGTGTCTCAGGGCCGTCCCTGGGGGATCTGTCCGATAAGAAGAGGAAGTTTGGCTGGTTCAGTCACTCCAACGACACTCATGGTGAGTCAGTTTCAGATAAAATGGTCCACAGCAGATGGTGGACAAAGAGTCACACACTGATGGAGGACAATAATGCTAATGTCAAAACCTTAATGCTTTTCGTCTCCCTCTGTCTGTTAGCGAGTCTTCCAGCGAGTGAGACGGCTTCAGAGAACACGGAGAACATCGATGAAGAACACACCAACTGCTGTCAAGCCTGCTGGTAGCCTTCTTCCATTGTCTCTGGCATTTTTACAGTTTAATCAAGACTTTGCTAACATTAGCTTCCACTAAAGGCCATATTGGTAGAGCACTTTAGCGTTAGTGGAACTAATGTTCATAAATAGTGACTTAGTTAGCAGAGCTAGCTAGTTAGTATTGAGGATTAGAAAGGTGGCTATACTCTTAAATATCTAAGTAAAAGAAATAACGCACAGAGACGTAGTTCTTGCTGCTAGGCCATAGACGAGCCGGAGATTTATTACACTACCACGGATTAATCATTACAGTTTCTTCAGTTCAGTACAAAAATCTTCATCGTCATTTCTTGTCACAAAAAATCTCCCCGAAGTCTTAACACCAACCTATTTTATACCTTCTCATCTTCATCAGAGTGTTTTGGAAAGTTTCAACCAATGGCGTGCAACTGTTGTTTTGCAGAAAGATTCAGGCACGCTTCATACTGAGTGTGTATTGGGCGACCTTTAAAAATATTTTGGACCTCACGAACTCAACATCTGCTCCATTTCAGAATTGCTGAATAGGACAAATAATCTCAAATTGTTGATTTTATCTTGCACAAACAGACATCCTTTCCAGTAAATTCTGGCTCCATTTGCGCTTTGCACGCAAATGGAAGGAAAGAAGTCAGTCAGGTTGACCTGGTGCGAAGCCAAAGTCTTCGCCGAGGCGCCAGTGTCTTTTTTCCGCCAAACAACTCCTTAGATAGTATTTCCGCTCTTACATTAGTTAGCAGTAACCACCACTGACCAGAAGACATGACCTCGTCATCCAGCACCACCTCCAGGCAGTAAATTGACCTTAGTCTGTTGTGTTCCAGTGCTTCTGTGATGAAGATCAGCTGCTGGTGAGTTTCTGCAGAAGGAAGTCATATTTTCAGACGTTCCGGTTGCTGAAGGGTTCTTTCTGTCTCAGCCGGACGTTGCGTCGCTGGAACCGAGTCTGTCGCAGGAACTGCCGCACCGCTGTCAAATCGGTGACATTCTATTGGCTGGTTCTCCTGCTGGTCTTTCTGAACACCTCACTCAGCGCCTCCGAACACTACAACCAGCCCGACTGGCTGACTCAAGTCCAGGGTAAGCGCCCGCCTCGGCGCTGCCACCTGGTGGCCTCTCTCTGACAAATGTTGGGCGGTGTTGGTGAGGTCATTTTTCCGTCTGCAGACATCGCCAACAAGGTGCTGCTGTCTCTCTTCACGGTGGAGATGCTGCTGAAGATGTACAGCTTGGGTCTGGCGCATTACTTCGTGGCCTTCTTCAACCGCTTTGACTGCTTTGTGGTGTGCGGTGGGATCATCGAGACCATCCTGGTGGAGCTGGAGATCATGCCTCCTTTGGGAATCGCTGTGCTGCGCTGCGTCCGCCTGCTGCGCATCTTCAAGGTCACACGGTGAGAGGTCACACCTGGGCCTCCAGGTGGGACCCAAACTCCTGGTCTCTGATGCTGTCCCTGTGTCTCCTCAGCCATTGGACGGCTCTGTCCAACCTGGTGGCCTCCCTGCTGAACTCCATGAAATCCATTGCCTCCCTGCTGCTGCTCCTCTTCCTCTTCCTCATCATTTTCGCTCTGCTCGGCATGCAGTTGTTCGGAGGAAAGTTTAACTTCGATGAGACACAGACCAAGCGGAGCACTTTTGATGCTTTCCCGCAGGCGCTGCTCACCTGCTTCCAGGTATCACGGCAACAGCAGGTGATGTCACCAGCTGAGGGGGCGTGTCTCTGATGATGACTGTGTGTCAGATCCTGACAGGTGAGGACTGGAATGTGGTCATGTACGACGGCATCATGGCGTACGGCGGCCCTGTGTTCCCAGGGATGATCGTCTGCGTTTATTTTGTCATCCTCTTCATCTGTGGCAACTGTATCCATAGCAACAAACCAACACATGGTCAATCAGATGCTTTATTATTGGAGAGCTCTGCTCAGCTGACTCTTCATCCATCCATCAGAACTCCCCAAACATCTTCTCCTTATCGACCAGCAGACATCCTGCTGAATGTCTTCTTGGCCATTGCCGTGGACAATCTGGCTGGAGGCGATGGGGATGACAAGAAGAAAGAGTGAGCGATGGAGAGATAGAGAAGCAGATGGAAAACCTGGATTTTATCCCGCCTGATAGTTTCCTGTTTTCTCCTCCGCAGAAAGAAGACGGAGGGTGAGGGAGAGCAGGAGGCCGAAGGAGAAGTGAAGGTCAGCAGATCACCAGGGTCACCAGGTCTCTGACGTGTCCTCGGTTTTTTCTAACGCTCTTTTGTCTCTTCAGGTGGACATCGATGAAGATACAGAGTATGAGGAGGAAGAGGAGCTTCCTGAAGGAGAAGACGGTCCGTTCTCACAGTAACGTTCTGACTAAATGATCCGTTAACCATCGAACCAACCAGGAACCAGAACTGCTCTCTGCAGCCATGTTAGGACAACATTTGACTCTCCAGAGCAGAATCTCTGCTTCAGTCTTCGGTCCAGTCGATTTTTCCAAATTAAAACCCAAAACTGTTCTAGTAACAGGGAGGGATAAGGAGTTCTGGAGGTTCAGGGTGAGATGTTGGTTTCACCAAACAGATGCTGAACCATCGGTCCAGCCCAGTTCTAAAAGCAGACCAGAACCCCCAGAGTTCAGGCCTGTTATCGTCTTGGCCAGGCAGACCTTCAGCTCCAGGTCAGTAGAATGAGCTCAAACAGATGTTTGCCTTCTCTTCTCCCCAGATGGAGGCGTCCAGCTGAAGATGGCCGACCTTGCTCCTCCTAAAGAGAAAGTTCTTCCCATCCCAGACGGCAGCGCCTTCTTCTGTCTCAGCAAAACAAACCCGTGAGTGTGTGAGCATCTCAGCATTCACTGACCTTCACACACTAAAAACCATTTCAGCCACCTTCATTCTGTCAACTAACTTCTATTCTCAAAGCCTAACCCTATCCTGCAAATTTTAGATTTTTAACTTAAATGTATGAGTTTCTGAAAGATAAACTTGTAGTAAATAAGTCGGTAAACCTTAGTTCACTCTTAGAGTTGAGTGAACTAAGGTTTTTCCACCTCATAGACCCGGTTCTACTGGAACCAGAACATCTGCTCCACCTCCAGCTGCTCTGAGTCAAACCAACCTGTTCCCCTCCTGGCCTGTGGGGGCGCTGCACCAAGAACCACTGAAGGAAACATAAAATCCTCTGAAGGCACTGAGAGAAACTTCCTTCTTCACCAGATGGAAACAAGATGGAGGATTTTAGCGTTGGAGGATTTCTCTTTAGGCTAAAGACCAGGAGCCATTTCTGCTGCTAGTGCTAGGCTAACACGTTAGCTTTGGTTGGATTTACCCAGAGTGCCCTGCACTGTAGTCCACTTCCTGCTTTTGGAGCGGTCTCCAGTCCGCTCAACCGAACCCAGACCGAGGTTTGGAGGACCAGAGGTCAGAGTTTGACCTTAGATTGAAGCGACTGAATGGGCCTGGTGGGTCACAGATCCACCAGGCAAGAAAAACAAAACTGACTCTTAAGCACCATCAGTGCTGTGGTTCTGTGGGTCGGTTCTTCCAGAACCCTCAGAAAGTTCTACTTGTGTTGAAACTTTAGTTTTTATTTATCTGATCCGTACAGAATCCAGAGACCAGCTGATTCTGGTTCCACGTGAAGACCTGACTCTTTTGTCTCCGTCTTTGTGTTCGCAGGATCCGTGTCGCCTGCCACACGCTCATTCATCACCACATCTTCACCAATCTCATCCTCGTCTTCATCATCCTCAGCAGCTGCTCATTGGCTGCTGAGGATCCAATCAGAGCGCACTCCTTCAGGAACAACGTGAGTCCCACAGCCTCCTCACTAACACCCAGCTCTGTGATGTCACAGGTGATGTCATCAGTAAGCCTCTGGGTTGGCATCGGGAGGGGCGGGGCTTCAGAAGGTTTCAGGGCAGGACCGGGTCAGTGATTAACTGGGTCATCGAGGCAGAAATAAGAGAATAGAGAGAAAAATTACCACACACACACACAGAGTCTCTGTTTCTAACTCTGCTCGTCTCTGAACTCAGATTTCTTGAGGTTCTGATTTGTGACCCACTTAACTCGGCCCAAATTTCACTCAAATGAATTTGATCTGGAAATAAATCTGATGGCTTTCAAGCCGTCTGAACGCCGCACTTTGTCCGACTTTTACGTCATAAAACGAGAATCCAGACAGTGAATCTAAACATCGTCTGAATAAATGATGGTAATGAAGTGATGAAAGCCAGTCTGAGTCAGTGAACGCATCACACCCAACCTCATCGCTCCTGGTCCGACTCCAAACAGAACCGGGTCAGAAGTCGGTCAGTGCCGTTGCCGTTAGCTTTCTTCCTTTGTGTGCCAACCATCTGGTGACCATGGCGTCGCTCTCAGCAACTTTACAATCCAGTCAGACGGCGGCCATCTTTGCTAACATGGGGTCGCAAACCGTTCACACAGAAATCTGATGCGGTCGGATGAATTAGTAGCAGGAGTGAAGATGCAGTTAGCAGCAAGACCAGCTGAGTGAACGCAGATTTCAAAAACACCCAAAACACGCTGAAGAAATAACGATTTAATTACCCCAGGCAGAAGGTTCACCATGATGACTGCTGGTCCACACTGAGGCCTCGGCTCACCTGCAGCAGATTTGAACAGGGATGTGTTCCTGACCATGATTGTACTTCCTGTCTGAGTCTGAACTTCCTGTGTGTCTGTAGATTCTGGGTTACGCTGACTACGCCTTCACCTCCATCTTCACCGTGGAGATTCTGCTGAAGGTAAACGTCCATCGGCAGGAAGTCTTGGCCCAGAGCTTTCCCTGTGACTTCCTGTGTGTTTCTGTCAGATGACGGTCCACGGCGCGTTCCTCCACCAGGGATCCTTCTGCAGGAACTGGTTCAACCTGCTGGACCTCCTGGTCGTCAGCGTCTCACTCGTCTCCTTCTTCCTGCAGTCAGTATTTAAACCTTAACTCCCTCTAACCAAGGACACATGTAGCAAGACTCTGGCCTGATCTCCTCCAGAAACATCTTTCTAGATGCTTTGGCTCCTCCAGGGACTCGTACCTCGCCGCTCAGCTCTTTACCTTCTACTGCAGAGGAGCCCTCCGTCTCCATGGACTCCTGCTGTGAACGGAGGCCATGCATGCTGACCACCAACGCCTGTTGATACTCCTTTCCAGAGTCATCCTGCATGTTTTAGTTCTCTCCCTGGGTTAGACGTACCAACAATCACATTGGCTGAACTTTGCTGCCTTCTAGTGGTCAGAGTTATCCCCAAGTTAGCTTTAGAAAATCATCTTTCTTTAGAATCAGTTTCAAGCAGACGCATGTCGATTTTACGGAAGTGTGAATAAATTCAGACAGTAAGAAAGCACCGGGTCACCAGGATCTTCTCCTCTCTGGTCCCATCACAAGTTTTCTGGTTCCTCTGTGTCTGCAGCTCCAGCGCCATCTCTGTGGTGAAGATTCTTCGAGTCCTCAGGGTGCTGCGACCTCTCAGAGCCATCAACAGGGCCAAAGGGCTGAAGGTAACTGGATGTGAGGGTCTGGGCCGGGTCGGGCCTCAGAGGAGGTTCTGGCCTGGTTCTGGTCGTCCAGGTGTCAAGTCTCTCTGTGTGTGTGTTGCAGCATGTGGTCCAGTGTGTGTTTGTGGCCATCCGGACCATCGGGAACATCATGATCGTCACCACGCTGCTGCAGTTCATGTTCGCCTGCATTGGCGTCCAGCTCTTCAAGGTTCCTCTCCGCCGTTCACCGGCCCAGGCTGGCGCTGCCACCGCCTCACTCTGCTTCTGCTTTCAGGGGAAGTTCTACCGCTGCACCGACGAGGCCAAGAGCACTCCGGAACAGTGCAAGTGAGTCAGAGAGGCGGTTCTGGTCCGGTTCTGGTTCCGCTCCGGCTGAACCAGGTGTGTTTCTGCAGAGGAACCTTCGTCGTCTACAAGGACGGAGACGTGAGCCACCCCATGGTCAGGGAGCGCATCTGGCTGAACAGTGACTTCAACTTCGACAACGTCCTGATGGGGATGATGGCGCTCTTCACCGTGTCCACCTTCGAGGGCTGGCCCGCGTCAGTATCCCACCTCCATCAGCTCTTCTCCCTCAGCTGGCTCTGAACGATTGTCTCTTGGTTCTCCAGACTCCTCTACAAAGCCATCGACGCCAATGGCGAGAACTCAGGACCGATCTACAACTACCGGGTGGAGATCTCCATCTTCTTCATCGTCTACATCATCATCATTGCCTTCTTCATGATGAATATCTTCGTGGGTTTTGTCATCATCACCTTCAGAGAGCAAGGAGAGCAGGAGTACAAGAACTGTGAGCTGGACAAGAACCAGGTAAGACTGGGTCCTATTGGACCAGAACCTCAGCGAAAGTCCAAATCAGTGTGAGGACAAAATGTCTACATGAGACGTTGTCCATCCAAACCTCCAGAAAAATATTCACTCTGGCTGATGGAGGACATCAGGCTATCAAGAGCTCCAAGTGTCCAACAGAACCGGGTCGTCTTTGTCCCAGTTCTGGTTCCTAAACCCTCCGTCTCAACTGGCTGCAGGTCCACCCAGCAGCAGTACCCTCCTCCTCGTCAGTCAGGCCTCAGGAAGTCTCCCTGATGTTCCTCCACATTTCTTTGATGGTTTCTAAACCCAGAAAAAAATCATCAAGCACCAAGACCTGCTGGGTGAACGAAGCCTCCAGGCTCCCAGACCTGGGCGGTCAGTGGACGTCCGTCTCGAGTCTGTGTGCATCTCCGCGTAATGAAAGTTATGTTTCTGCTTCAGATCAGGACTAAAACTACAGAATGAGTCTCCTGGTTGTTGCTGGAGTCAGAAACGCCGGGACTGTCCACCATGTTGGACAGAGCTCCTCCCACAGCTGGTCCTGGTTCTGTATCATTGGCTTGATTTGGTTCTGGATCTGTTGGTCTTGTGAAGTCCACTTTGAACATTGTCTGGTTCACCTGGTGGAACAGAAGTAAACCAAGAGAAAACTCTCAAAACCTGATTCAGATCCAAACTGTTCTGTCGGCTTCCATAAAATGTCTGGAATAATTCCAGACAGAAAATGAAACTTCTTTGCTGTTCTAGTTTGGTGGTTCTGCTGGATCAGTTCCTGTTCTCGGTCCAATCGCTGGGCTGCAGGACACTCTGTCCCATCTGCCTCATCTCTGCTGTCTGCCTCTGTCTCAGCGTCAGTGCGCGGAGTACGCCCTGAAGGCTCAGCCTCTGAAACTCTACATCCCAAAGAACCCGGTTCAGTACAAGTTCTGGTCCATCATCAACTCCACGGGGTTCGAGTACGTCATGTTCGTCCTGATTCTGCTCAACACCGTCACACTGGCTGTGCAGGTCGGTACTGGTCCAGTTAGTCAAAGCCGATCCAGTCGGACCAAAGCGAGCTGAGTGCTTTCTCTGCTGCAGCACTACGAGCAGTCCAAGACCTTCAGCTACGTCATGGACATCCTCAACATGGTCTTCACCGGACTCTTCACCGTAGAGATGCTGCTGAAGCTTCTGGCCCTGCGGCTCCGGGTGCAGAACCGAATGCAGACGGACAATCGGTCGGTACGCATCCTGCACAGCGGCTCATGTCTTCCTTGTCCTTGCAGCACTACTTTGTGGACGCCTGGAACTCCTTCGACGCTCTAATCGTGGTCGGCAGTGTGGTGGACATCGTGGTGACAGAGTTCAGTGTGAGCAGCAGATCACAGTGAAATGATCATCACTATCCAAAATCCCACTAATAATTTCTAATTTTTAAACTTGAGACATGAAACAATCACGTCTTAAGTTTAAAAATCAACTTTCATGCAGGACTTAATAGATGTTTCTGTTTTCAGAGCGGCGAGGACAGCTCCAGGGTGTCCATCACCTTCTTCCGCCTGTTCCGAGTGATGCGACTGGTCAAGCTCCTGAATAAAGGGGAGGGGATTCGCACACTGCTGTGGACATTCATCAAATCACTGCAGGTTAGAGGGGCGGGGTTGGCAGGGGCGGGTTAGAGGGGGGGGCTGGCAGGGGCGGGCTAGAGGGGCGGGTTAGCAGGGGCGGGGCTAGCAGGGGCGGCGTTAGCCAGAGAGTATGAAGTAAACGAGGGAAGTTGGCAAAACGTCTTAAATACCTGAAAATCTTGAATTAAGTGGATCAGAAGGTGGACTGACTCCAGAAAATCACTGAGATCAATAATCAAACAAACCTTCAGTCGGGTTGAAGCCCCGCTGCCTGGCTCCTGGGCGCCGGGTCAGGCTGAGACGCTCCCCATCCTCTCCCTGCAGGCGCTGCCGTACGTCGCTCTGCTCATCGCCATGATCTTCTTCATCTACGCTGTCATCGGCATGCAGGTGAGTTCACACACAGGTAAGCCTGTTGGGGTTGCTGTTTGGAGTCCAGACACCAGAGCTGATGAGGTTCTGGAAGGTTCTGCATGTCCCCCAGAACCTGAACGCGGTAGGACCAGGTTCTGACTGTCTTCGGGTTAACTCTTCCCTCTGCTGTGTCTGGCAGACGTTCGGGAAGATCGCGATGCAGGACTACACTCAGATCAACAGAAACAACAACTTCCAGACGTTTCCTCAGGCCGTCCTGCTCCTCTTCAGGTCAGAGGCTTCTCCTCTCCGTCTGGATGCTCAGCGCCTGGAGTCTGCTGGTTTACCTGTGTGTGTGTGTGAGAACAGGTGTGCCACAGGTGAAGCATGGCAGGAGATCATGTTGGCCAGCCTTCCAGGGAAACGCTGCGATCCGGAGTCGGACTACGAACCAGGAGAAGAGTTCAGCTGCGGAAGCAACTTCGCCATCGTTTACTTCATCAGCTTCTTCATGCTGTGTGCTTTCCTGGTGGGAACCTGAACATTCCCAGAATGTTCCCAGGACATTCCTCCATTTGGACCAGAACCTGACCGCACTTCTTTCTCTCACTTAGATCATCAACCTGTTTGTTGCCGTCATCATGGACAACTTCGACTATCTGACGCGTGATTGGTCTATCCTGGGGCCGCATCATCTGGATGAATTTAAAAGGATCTGGTCGGAGTACGATCCAGAAGCCAAGTAGGTTCTGCAGAGGTTCTGCTTCCTGTCAGTGGTCCAGTTGTTCTGTGAGCTCAGTTTATGATGAGCTTCTTCAGATTACACAGATCTGAGATGTTCTTGAGTTCTGCTGCTGTCATTTGGAGGAGAAACTGGAATCACTGATCTGTGTTTTGTGTCCTCAGAGGTCGGATCAAACATCTGGATGTGGTGGCGCTGCTCCGGAGGATCCAGCCTCCTCTGGGGTTCGGCAAGCTCTGTCCGCACAGAGTGGCCTGCAAGGTAAGGAGGACTAACCCAACTCCAGTCCGTTTGGGGAAGTGTGAAGTGCTACACTGGACTCGGCCGGTTCTGTTCTTAGCCAGTTCTGGTTCTTGGTTCCTACTGATGCTCGGCCGAAGTTCCAATATTTCTCTGAAACCGAACTGCAAAGCTACAGCTAATCAGTCGTTAGCGATGGATTGTTAGGGTTTGTCCTTCAGACTAAAGGAGTCAGAGTTCCTGCAGGCGTGTTTTGGTTCTGTCTGTTACCCCCTGAACAGAACCTGAGTCGCCCTTTTCCTCTGCACCGCAGCGCCTGGTGGCCATGAACATGCCTCTGAACGCCGACGGCATGGTGACCTTCAATGCCACACTGTTCGCTCTGGTTCGCACCGCGCTCAAGATCAAGACCGAAGGTACGTGACGACCTTTAGGTGGAGGATGACTCGGCTTAGACTTCTTTTTCATGGTTTGTATTAGAAAATAGACGTGTTAGCTCTGCTGAATTAGCCAGACGTGGAACATAAATCACAGTATCATCTGCATATGTAGTGACTTTTCAGCTGTGCTTCTGTCTTTAATCTGTTTAACACCAGCTCCGACCAACACTGAGATGGTTCAGGTATGAACTTATAACCTGTCTTTGACTCCGACCCCTGGGTGCTGTGGACAGGTAACCCTGAACAGGAGAACGAGGAGCTGAGGGCGATCATCAAGAAGATCTGGAAGCGGATGAAGCCGAAGCTGCTGGATGAGGTCATCCCGCCACATGAAGGTAGAGCGACCAGCCTGCAGGGACAAGCCGGGTCTCCGTCCGCCGGTCCGCAGACTCAACCTCTCTCTCTCCGTCTGCAGAGGAGGAAGTCACCGTCGGGAAGTTTTATGCAACTTTCCTCATTCAGGATTATTTCAGGAAGTTCAGGAAGAGGAAGGAAAAAGGAAACGTGACGGGAGAGTCTGACTCTACGAATCCATCTGCTGTTCAGGTTAGCCCGCTCAGCCGTCTTTCTCCATGTTGTCTCAGAAACTCGGAGCTTTTCAAAAGCTTTTTAAACGTTTAGCTGCCACCTAGAGGTCAAATATGACTTCTGCAGCAGAATGCATCAACATATGTGAGAATAATGTCCAGGGCCTCATGTATAAATCATTTGTACGCTCAAAAAATGTGCGGCGCCATATTTTACACACAAGTCGGCATGTATAAAAATGAACTTTGTGTCAAAGTTTGCATAAATATACGCACATTTTTTCCCTGGCGTGAAAATGTGCAGCAGCCAGGTCAAAAGTCACCTAAATCCACTGAAACCTGACGACATTCAGCTGTTTAGAGCAGGAAGCATCAAACCTGATGATTATCATGATTTTAATACTTTATTGTTTAAGTGATGAAACTGAACCACATTTATCCTCAGACAATAACCTGAAAAATAA